GTTTGTCATCCATTCATTGCAGTCTTCATCTCTCTCATACATAAAAATGTTGATGGTGAAACTCTGATTTGAAAAAGTGAGACATACCCAAACATTACAGATGCAATTTATTTTGACAAGTTAACAAGTATATTAAAGCAGTGTCCCCTGGATACCAACATGCCAGCTGCAAATATAATGTATAATGACTGATAGTTTTGGCATCAGCAAAGAAAAAAGTAATTTACAATTGCAGAGTTGCATACTATATAACGATGTAGCCTAAGCTATACTGGATTTTAAAATGGAAAATTGTTTCTAAGTAGCAACAAATGTAGTCCTGTAGTGAAAAAAAAACTATGCTTTTATAACAGCTGAGTGATTGCGCAAGACTCCTACATCAAGTCCAGAGCACTCGTAAAAGATTAGAAAAGGAGAAAAATTATGAATTGCTGTATTTTGTATCTAACGAAGCATATATTGTAAGAAGAAATTTGTTTATACTAACGCTTCTTGCCTGAGGCTCAGTGAGTTTTTTTTTTTTTTTTTAAGTTTAAGGGTTTCCTATTTTTCAAAAAATATGGAAAAGTGAAGTAGATAACTTGCAGAGGATTCTTTAACAACGATTCTTTTAGAAAGTGTTATATATTGGGAAATATTAGCGACAGAACTATAATTAGATTGGGGTTTCCCCCACCGGGGCCGTTTTGGTTTCAATCGACTTGTACTGTTGTTTCTGTCTCCGTGTGGAATAAATGTAGTCACACCTTTACGCTCGGTTACTACAGAAAGCATTCCTCCTCCTAATGTCTAGACATTTCTTTCTTGCTTGTGCTTGCTTTATTGTGGTTGTGAAGTCTTAGGGAGGCTGTCCCACCAGGTGCTGTTGACAGTAGGAGATTAGGCCGGGCATGATAACATCTTATCATGGGTTTTACATATGAAAAAAGGTGCTGTCATTTTTCTTAAGTTACAGTAAATTGTTGCAAAACCTGTTGAACAGTTTCTGCATGTTCTCGAATGCCTGTGCCCTCTACATGGAACACTGTTTCTTCACTTCACTTTATTCCTTTTGTGCTAAACAATATTTTTGAGGAGTTAAAGAAAATTTGTAGAATTGTCAGTGATTTTCTGGGCTTGCATGGCTCTTAACTTTCCAATACAGCATAGGCTATAGTTCTGTGGGGCAGGGTGACATAAAATAAAACATTTGCCCCTTTCTTTAAAAAATCTATATCAGGCATCCCCAAACTCGGTCCTCGAGTGCTGCTGTCCTGCAGGTTTTAGAGGTTTCCTTGCTCCAGCACAGCTGATTTTAATTGAAAGCTGATTAACAGGCCTTTTCTCTACTGCAATCATTATAATCAGCTGTGCTAAAGCAGGGAAACCTCTAAAACCTGCAGGACAGCGGCCCTGAAGGACCGAGTTTGGGGATGCCTGATCTTTATGGTCAAATAAACCTCCCATTTTGGAATGAATTAAATGTTTCCATATATCTAACTTGTGATTTTATGTAAGGGTGATGAAGATGTAGCAAACCGACAGAACTTACACCCACTACCAAATTCCATCAAGCCTGCACTGATGCAGACTTGCTATTTAAAGGCTGATTGGTCCACTCACCCTACCCACTATGTGGTTTGGGATGGCACTTAATGTGGTGGAGGGTTAGTGCTCAGGGGCTGGTTTGGAATTGGTCCGCAGACTTGGATTCAGCGTGATTACTTATACCTGTAAACATGCTGTAAAAAAATTGCTGCAATCACAGAAAAAAAAAAAAAAACACAGCAGGACAGAAGATCATGATAAACAGCAGGTTTAAAAGGCTGCAAATTGAGTCAAACAGAAGTGTGTCACCATGTCAGTTGGGGCTATACCATCAATTAATACAAGCTTGTTAATATTACATATGTATCTTTTGCTGATTTTCTTTAATGCTAGTATTTCTGGTACTTAAATAATCTTTTTATCTTCTTTAGTCCACTGTCTGTCATTGCAGTGTTTCTCTTTTACATCATTTTGTTGCAATTATTTATCAAGTGTATGTGTTTTGGGGTTGCATCATTTATGTGCATGCATATTTGCATGCATGTTCTGGATTCGTACATTTTTGTACCTGTCTTCCCCCATAAGAAATGCTATGCAAGACTTGACGTAAGATATTACGTTTGACAAAAAAACAGAAGAGCAGGTGTGGGCTGCTCAGTTTTGAGGGGGAAGGTGCAGAGGACAGCGAAGCACGAGGATAGTAAATAAAACAAAGGTAAAATGACAAAAATTTATAATTTTATTCCATATTGTCATGTTTGTATTTGTCCTATACAATGAACTAATGTTTTTTTTGTTGTTGTTGTAATGTACTATAGTTTTTTCCGTTGCCTGTTAGATTTTGAACAGCAACATTCGATGTGAGACCATTTATTCTGTGGCATTTGTCCTTTTTGAAATGTATTTCTTAATGAGACTTAGAAAACCATCTCGCTTAAATCGTTCAATATTTACAAAGTCTTAAACAATGTTTTTATTTTAAAATGCTCAGTATTCAGTAATGTAAACAAATACATTACCATTGATCTTAAACGGCTGGGAAAGCCGGCATTTGACAAACAAAATTACATAAAATATTCTTAAATGCATGTTAAATGCAGTTTGTGTTACTGCTGTGTGTGGGCATGTGCAGTGCTGTTTTTGACAGCCACCTTAGATTCAGTCTTAGTTTTCAGAATGAAAACTATTATTAGTTTTAGTCACATTTTAGTCATTACTATATGTGATAGTTTAAGTCGGTTTTAGTCAACTAAAATTTTAAAAGGTTTTAGTCAGCTTTATGGTGCAAAAAACAGTTAACCTTTACAATTTGTAATAACAACCAGATTCTTAACCAGACTGCCAGCTCTTCTCTAGATACTTTAATTGCTGGATATAGAATGTTGCTGTGCAGTTTATCATTGCTGTTGGGCAGAAAACTTTAATTTGTAGAATTTAAATAAACTTTTTTACGAATTAATGCACTACTTTATAAAAAAAAAAAAAAGTATTGAAAATAGCAGATCTAGTTCAACACATCATTGTGGATAATATAGCAGACAGACAAGCTAATAAAATGTACACTTCCTGATCAACTTACACACAGATCAATAAAATCTTAATTGCTCCAAAAAAAGCTAAGAACAAAAACATTCTTCTTTCTACTTTGGCAATTTTGGACCTTATTTCTTCGGGTTCAAAGTAGATTTAACAGGGTTTTTATTTTAAAAAATCAAATAAAGAGAGAACCTACATAATTGCCTCGTAATGCTATGGCAATCCAGACCTAAATTGAATGAATATTTTAACTAAAATGTTGACATTTTTAAAGGAAACAGAGAAAATGTTTTAATGACAATACAATGAAATATTTATGTCATATGCAAATAGATGTAAAGATCTATCTGAAACCATCTGGCACTTTATCCAAAAATATACAGTATGCAATTAAATATTTTTGTTTGAATATAATTTAGGGATTCAGTTTGGTAGAACTTAAAGAAGGTTTTGCATCACTTCTTGTGAGCTGGCAGAGGATGATCAGCCACATATAGTTTATTAAGTAGTTAGAGCAGGAAGAGCCATACTGCTGAGAGCGAACCATTGGTGTGGAGCATGAAGCGCGGACTGTGAGCTACACGCGTGCAAAGATTGACTTCTGCACAAGCACAGCTGGAAGAGCAGAGTTTGTCAGAGTTCAGTGTGCAGTACCGGACCATTCCGGGTTATTTTCTCCCCTGGCGCTGCTGCCATGATCCATCTGTGGACGCAGCTGCAAAGCTGATACTGCTTAGCTTGTCTAACAGATTACAGCCAAATTATGCATTTTAAACGTCTGAACAACAACCCACATTTTTATTTAGTCTCGTCTTGTTGACGAAATCTCACACCCATGAGTCGCCAAGTTTTCGTCAGCAAAGATCCACGTTTAGCTTGTCAGCTATCGTTTTCGTCATGGAAAAAATGAACTACATAATTTTTTTCATTGTCGGCGAAAACACTGTGCATGTGTCCATGACAGTTACATGAAATTCATATCATTGTCATGATTTAATTAAAGGTCTGACCCAAAATGCAGAACACCAGACAGAGACACCAGGGAAAAGTTGAACAGGTTTATTAAGAATATGGTGATGAATTCAGTGCTGCTCAGAACACTGTCAAACCGGAACTGGAAGGTGAGGGGAAGACACTGCGGTTAGTTCAGGCTCAGTGGGAAATTAGATTCTTAGGCTTGAATTGGAGGAATAGGGTGCAGACTCACTTCTCCAGAAAAAGGTGTCCTTTATGGAATCAAGTCTGTGTGGAATGTTCCAGTGATTGTCTTGTTTCGTGTTGGGCGGACGGGGTTTACTCAGACTGCTGTTGTTCATAGGTGAACGGAGAAGGTGACTGCCACTCAGATTTCCTGCAGTACTTGAACGGGCTGTGGTGCAGATGAAACCTTTGCTCAGTGTGAAGCTCAAACGACCTCTTGGGGAAAGTGGATCCAAACCTCCTGTTTGGAATGAATGGAGAAGCTAACTGCCACTCTGATTTCCTGCGGTACTTGAACGGGCTGCGGTGCAGATGAAACCTTTGCTCGATGTGAAGCTCAAACTTCCTGTTTGGAACCCCAGCTCAGTTAAAACCTCAGTTGATCCTTCCAGAGAGAGAAGGTCCGAACAAATCCAGTTTGCAGGACGACCTCCTGCCGAGAGGCAAAGACAAAAAACAAAGTCAAGACTCAGGTTGACAAAAACTCAGTTTAACCCAGCAAAACTCAGCTTGGCTAGAGTATCCAAAACCAGCAAACAAAAACTCAGGTTAGACTCTGCTAAACTAAGCATGGCTAGAGTACCCTGTATTTGCAAACACTCTGGCGTCGAGGTAGTAGCAGTTGCTGCAGGTGTGCAGCAACTGCTACTACCCAATGAGGGCGGGACACCACCTGGTGGAGGAGGAAAGGAAACACAAAAACAGACCACACAAACTGGATTCCTGACAATCATATCTTGCTAATTTATAATACAAAAGAACTTTTGCTACTTGTCTTGCTGAGTAATGTGAATTTTTCTTCAATAAATGATTTTTCTGTGGACAAAGACATGTCTGATTTAGGTTATGGAATACTCATGTAAATTAATTGTTTTTTTTTGGTTGGTTTTTTACACAGGGCTGGATCCAGTCAACACTGATAATGGGAGACCAAACTTTAAGAAAATGTCTTCCTCAGAAGAAGAGTTGGATCTTTCTTTTCTTGACTTTATTGGTTTTATGGGTCATTTTTTACAGTGTGAACTTCACTGATCACATAATCTGTACATTAGCAGAGGTGAGTATCAGTCAACTTTAAAACATTAACTCCAACTACTGCATCGTCATAGGCTCTGAAAAATAGAGCTTTTCTTAGTCCTTTGAATGCATCTTACTGAAGGTCTATTCATATAACCATAATTCAAGCATAAGACATGTGTATGTGGATATTGTAATTTATTGGACATTAGTTTATCACATTAAAGACAGACAGGAAACAAAGTACATAAATGATAAATTAAGTAATGCATTAAAATGTCCTCTAACTTTGAGATAGCAAATGGGATAACATTTTTTTTTTCAGACTAAAATTCAGTCCTGTGGATTTATATTTATTTTCTTCTATACACTCTTTCTTTTTCTCCATCTATTTATCTATTGATCTTCCCCCTGCTTATCCTGTCAGGGTCGGGGTGGGGCTGGTGTTTCCTTCCAGAAGTCTATGGGTGAAATACAGGGTACACCCAGGACAAGTCGCCAGTTTTTGGCACAGCAAAGCAGAAACACAGAGATATAAACACACAGTCACAACTAAGGACAATTTAGAGAAGCCAGTTAATCCAACAGTTATGTATTTTGACTGTGGGAGAAATCCAGAGTGCTTGGAGAGAACCCAATACATACAAAAACACCCTCGGCTGGGAATCATCCTCTCTCTCGCTCTTTTTCTTCATAGACAGGAGGACCGAAAGACAGACATATATATAGATATATCAATTTATGTCAGTAATTCAGTTTGAAAGTAATACTGAAACATTTCAAGTGTTTATTTTCATTATTGATGATGATTAGGGCTTCCAGCTAATTAAAATTCAGATACCCATAATGTTTTAAATAGGAGACAATAAAGCCTACGTTCTAGCCTACCCAGCCATGCGAAAGACCGATAACTTAACAGTTTTCCAGCACTCGCTGGCATCCTTTGAAGCTTGGGTGTTCATGCTAACAGGTTTCTTGAGCTTGATTCGGCTAGTTGTATTTTATTGTTATGTTAAAAAAAAACCAACATAAAATAATGTCATCTTTTGAATTGATTTTATAAAGAAAACAATCTTATTTATAGGTTAAGTTGATTCTAAATAGAAAGAATGTTGACAGAGTAAGGAGCATGGCAGTGGGAAAAGATAACCCATTACCGGCCTAAGGAAGAGCATCTGTGACTCCACATTAAGATAACCAAGTGTTAATTGGTTGTAAACCAGAAACATCTATTATTACATCCAATTAATTTTGTATTCAAACTTTAGTTTGTGTGGTGTCTAATGAGTTTTTTTTCTACATTTTTTTTCTAGTTAAAGGAGAAAATCCCAGCCACCAAAACATTGAAACGTCCCACTGAGCCTCAAAACCATAGAGCTGTTTGCTCTTTCCAATCTGTGTTCCCCGAGGATGTTCCTGAGTCTGATTTTTTAAAGGACTACATTGCCTGGCCTGAAACACCATCCCTACCATCTAACTTTTCTCTGATTGACACTAGCAATGCTGCACACAGCACTTTCACAATTCTCCCTCGTAATGGAGGAGGAACCTGGAATGTAGGAGATCAACTGAAAGTGTTGATAGAAATGAACGACTTCAAAGGTCGACACAAGAAGTCTGGTGGAGACCTTATATTTGCTCGACTGCACAACCCGACTGTTCGTGCAGGTGTGGTGGGGGAAGTGCTTGATCATCGAAATGGTTCCTACACTGCTGTATTCCCTTTGCTCTGGGAAGGAAGTGCACAAGTGGAGGTAAGATCCAGACTTTTCCTGTTGAGTGTTACGGATATATCTATCCTTGCTAAGGGTTACCTTGTCACTGCGCTTAATTAAAATAGCTATTTGTTTGTTGAGTACCTGAATGCAAACATTTATAAAACAAAATAAACAAGCAAAGGGTTACTCACAAGAGTTGCAGGGAAGTAACTGCAACTGAGTCCATCAAAGAGTCACTGAAATAAAAACGGTTTTGACAGCAGAGAGAAAAGTGTCATCATTTCTTAATATTTGCTAATGTCATAATTTCTTCCCCTAATATGCAAGTTCAGTCAGCTTGTTCTTGATAATAATTTGGCAAAACATTTTTGACATATGATGTGTCTAGCAATATTCTACATTTTGTTGGGAATTTGAAGTGATTGGTGTTAACATTCAAAAGTGGTCTTAGGTCCTAGAGCCCTTATCTTATTGTATGATAGCAACAAAACCTTATCCTCACTTTTTGAAGGCACTTCCTACTGCTTGCTGTCTGACAGGACCTAAGCCAGTTTGTGGCTTGATGCTACTGTTGCCACCTAAGCCCCCAGTTTCTGTTCCTGAACATGTTTGCAAACGCCTGTTTCGACCAAACAATAGATATTTCAGGGTGCGAGCTCCGGTTTGTGTCTGGCACCACAGAATACCTGTTTTTTTTAGACCACAACCATTAGCTACCAGTCGTGTCACTTGTAGGATGTCAGAGTAGGTGGGAAAAAAAATTAAACAAAAACATTTTATATTGCCAAGGCTCAGAACAGGGGCTCATTATTCAAGGCAGACAGACAGTCAGATAATTCAAAAGATTTATTAAAAAACAGAGAACAGGGTAGAATCCAGCCGGTGGGCTGCCAACAAGATGCGGCGGGCATGGCCAGAGTGTCCCAGACACTGATGCCCCGGAGGACAGAGTACAAACAGGATTAAGAACCAGGAGATCAGAAGTCCGAAGAGGTTCCGAAGGGAAACCCAGGTCGGTGACAGGAAGCAGCTTCAAGTTCAATTAGCAGGCAGAATCCAGCAGCTGTCCAAAGACATGTCAGGCAAACAGATCTCATGGTAATGGGCAGGCGCAGTGGTTAAGAGAGAACACAGATCAGAGTAATGCTGAAACACTCTCACCAATGTCTCGAGAATAATCTGGCCCTGATGACTGGTTAGAGGGCTGGTTAAACAGAGGCAGGAGCAGGTGGATCAGATGAAGGGTAACAAGAAACTGGGCGGAGATAGGCAGGTGAATCAAATTAGTAATCCAGCCAGTCATCAGCACCAAGATCATGACAGTATACATCTGCTCGTCCAGCACAGGGAGAACAGGCTGCAGAGGTTGAAGAGAACTGGAAGGGTATCTGTAAGCCTGTTGCTGCACATTGTTTTTATTGTATTACCTTTTGTTATTTGTTCATTAATGCTTTAAACTGGAATGGTGATCATAGCACTTTATATAGTATTTTATCAGCAACTGTATGTTTCCAAAGCATAAGAATTCTAAGTAATTTTTTGACTGTTTCTATTTACATTTTCTTGTCTCTAGCTGCAGCGCAGCGGGTCTGTGTATTATACTGGAGCAGTTTGATAAACTTTTAAGATGCTGGATCAGTGGCAAAATAAGTTAGAAAGAATGGCCAGGGGGTACTTCCCCAACAGTGCAGCAGATAATTGGAAGAAAATAATAATAGGACAAGATTTTAGACCCCTGTCGGCAGGTTTGATAGTAGCTTCTCTTACTGGCAAACAATGAGACTACACCACCTGTTTGTATTAGTTCAGCGACTAATATCAGCTCTATATTACATTACTTACTCTGTTTTTCACTTTTAGAGGGTTCAGTAGTAATTCTAGTAATAATTCTGCCAAAAGTCCACACATGTAATAAATTCTCCAAGGAGCAGTTTTATTTAAAACACATGCATGTAGACTACTGTCCATGCACATTTTCAATGTTCTATGAGTGCAGATTTAATTCAATGACACCCCAAATATATCACAACCATAAGTGCATATTAATTTTCTGTGCTTCTGGTTTGCTTTTTATGCACCTATAGTTTCTCTCATACTCGTGTTTAGACTCCTTCTGTGCGCTCATGTCAACATTTTCACTTGGAAGGTGTTACCCACGGGACAAATGACCTTGTCTCTGAATGGCCAGGAAAGTTATATCCAAATATAACATGGTCTGGATGAATACTGGATATGTGCTGACTGCAGGGTGTCCGTTGAAAAGGGTTATAGGTAGGGTTGAACAATTTTGTCAAAAATCTAAAGTGCAATTATTTTTAATTATTATTGCTATTTAATTAGATTTTCCTTTGCACTTACTACAAGCTTGTTGTTTTATTATCTCTCCAAAAACATTCAGTGTGCTGTTTTGTAAAATAAATTGCTGTTGTCACAGCTGAGACTGACCTCTTCCACTCCTCGATTTCTGTTGGGCTTCAACTCGGAAACCAATCTGGGATTTTCCATCTCAAGACCCACTCAGTATTAACCTTTAGAACCCCTGTGAGATCTTCTTGGATGGGTGAACAGGTCTCATTGACTTTGCTAACTGCCTTCTTCCCAGTGCCACACCCTTTTTCAACAAGCATATCAGATGATTAGCAGCCAGGAGCCATCTTCTTCCCACCTATCGTCCTGGTTCATGGTTCAAACACTTTAAGCCTTTCAACGCTGACTACTTATTACAGAGGCTTTAAATATAAGATTGGGGAGCAGACAAGTTTCATTTTAGAAGACACGGAAGTATATGTTTCCTGGAATCTTGAAAAAGTGAATAATCACAACTTCTCCATTAAATGGTGCACTCTACTAATCCCGAATTTGGCCTTTCATCAACCCCGTGCAACAAGCAAGGGTGATCTTTAATCCACTGGGATAATCCACATGGAAATAGGAACATTTCTACCAAGGAAAAATTAGATAATACTCTTTAAAATTGGAATAACAAAATCCAGATAAAAATTAGGAATCCATCATAGGAAATTCAATCACAGGTTCAGGTTCTGGCCATGCTGACCTTTGCTGAATTACTGTTTCCTCTCTTGTAACCATTTTTCCTGTCTGTATACTTTTGAAATTAACAGAATAAAGGTCACTAGAGCCTAAAAGATAATAATAAAAAGGAATCTGACTCTTTTCCTCAATGGTCTTGCCATCCTCCTTCCGTTGTCCCTAAGAGGGAAAACTAAGCAATGTTCAGCAGGAAACAGCTCCTTTTATCTATTCCAAGCGCATTGAGGTGCATGGGACATTTTTCCATCCAGTAACATACCTAGGAATATTTTCCAGCAAATTGGAAGCCTTTCTTGTTTGCATACCTATTACAAGTGCCTTTTCCCATGATGCCTCACAAGTTCTACATCGCCTTAAGCCTGTGAGTTCTTTTTACAACACCAAATCAGCCAGCACCCTTAGATAGTCCTTATTTTATGTCAGCTTCTATTTACACTTCCTTAGTCTGATAAACTTTGAAAATCAAATGTATTTCTTTACACATAACACAGAATTTATGCTTTACATTTAATTGATTACCCGAATACCCATACTTTAGTGCTTCAAACTGCATGGCAATAACCCAATTTTAAATCCAAAGCTTCTGGAAACAAAGAACACTATGTTATTCATCCTCAAACAAGAAGTGATCTCACCCCATGATGAAATGCACTACTATTATATAATGGGTCACTAATCCACACAATATAAATTAAGTGTTTCAATTTTAATTTTATTGCCAAAAAAACAAAAATAAATCACTTCTGTGAACAGTTAGTTTTACAAATTAAAAAGGTCTATCTCAGGAACTGAGACATTTCCAGTGTGATTCCAGCTTTGGGGAAGTTAAGTTGTTAAATTGTCTCGGTACTATATATTCAATTATTATTATTATAACGAAGAAGGCTTATGAAAACAAAAGTTACTTAGCCACAAATCATTAAATCAGAAGATTAGCAGAAGAAATTCTCTTGGAATAGTTTACTAAAGGACATTTGCCTGAGTGCAGTGTGTCAAATTTTATGTTAGTTGCAGAGTTGGCTTGGCACCATTACTTCCAATTAGAGAGAATATTTTTGAATTTTCATGCTTACAACTTTCATCTCTATAAAATCTAAATAAAAGGCACTTAATTGCATAAGCAAAAAAATTACAGCACATGCAATAAAGGGGCATTTTACAGATGATCTGCAATGGTTGGGTCTTTAAAAGGGTAAGATGTGCAAACAAGTAAGGTCAGCTCCTTTCAAAGGAGAAAACTCCATGTCCTAAAAATTATTTAAGGCTTCCAAGCCATACAGCTATAAGTAATAATATATATGTTTTAAATATGTTAAAAATAATGATAATCGTGAATATTTATAATGCACTTAACGTAAGTATCTCAAAGTTCTACAAACAATAGTAACCAACCTGACACAACACCTGTTTGATCCTAAATAATACAAACCAAGGTAAGCCCATAGAAATATTTAACAACCAAAGTGCTTAATATGGACATCTTTTTCCCTAGAATAATGATTTTACTATTGTTATATCTCACACTCCAAATGTATTCAAATCCACAGAGCCTTTCTCTCCATTATTTGTTCTTGTAGCAATGCCACCTGTAAAGCCGCAATGACCAAATGCACTTTTATGAGTTTGTACCTGAGTTTCAAATAAACTCAAAAACTGTGACTGCAATCGCCTTTTGGTTTAATAAATCACTTTGCAGGTGCTTGCAAGATTGAACATTTTGCAAGATAAGCAAAGATAAGACTTTCTGATTATCAGTCTCTTTTTGTAAATAGTACAATACAAAATGACTGTGCAGCTATGCACAAATCAAACATAATTTTTTTTATAAAAAGTAAAAAGAGTTGCCTCCAGTGAGTCCTTCACAACAGACATATGTTTGACTTTACTGGTATTCTATTCCTAAATCTTACTTACCAACTTATTCTTATTTTTTTTTTGCAAAAGGTGATCCTGATCCACTCCAGTGAGGCAGTCAAAGTGATAGAAAGGGTCAATTTGGAATACCCTGGCAGAATTTTTTTCCGAAGCCTTTTCCGTTCAGGCTCAGTCACTGAAGCTACCAATTGTAATGTGTGCCTTATGGCACCGCCAGAGCAGCTGTGCAACTTCACTGATCTCAACACAGGCGAGCCCTGGTTCTGCTACAAGCCAAAGACACTCAGATGTGAGCACAGGATCACCCACTCTTTCGGAGGTTTCAAACTAAACCCAATGCAAAAGGAGAAAAAGCTCTTTCAAATGTGAGTATAATACTGGATGACTTTTGTAAAAAAATTAAAAAATTTGGTGGGCAATGTGAAACCTTTTTGTGGTAATTTTAGGAAGTAGATTTTTTTAATCTACTTTGTCACACTGTCATATTCTTGGCTTGCAATTGAGCTAACTTCCGCCTCATTAATTATGGGTTTCATGAAGTGTTGGTCTGCCGAGCACCACTTCATCACTTGAATATGCCTACAAAATGGCATCCGCAACATCAGCTTTACCTATCTTGTCAAGTGATGACGAAGATTATTTACACTAGATCAAAGCATCAAATCCATCAATTAGGAGGGAAAAAAAGCTGATTCGTCCAGCTGATTCGTTCATGTGTTTGGGGCACCCTGACCGAAACAAACATGGATCAAAGTCAGGAGAAAGATGCAAGTCCCCTCAGAAATAAAAAAACGACAACAACTGGTGCTTGAAATCAATCCTCCTCGTAATAACTGGGCGGTTGCTGATTGTGGCCGGTGTAAGTCTAGTTTATATAGATATTTTCATAAATAGTATATTAGTCTGTGTAGGATTCTATAAACACTAACTGACTAACTTTCCCCAGTCGCTTCGAGCGTAATGGCAATCTCTATAGTCACTAGTTTGTCAGCTCTGCACTGCCGTAATGCAAAAGATGTCTGCCTGCACAAATGTGAACCGACTCCTATGAAATTATAAATAGCAGTTTCACAGGCAAGGCCAACATAAAGATTGAGACTTTCAGTTAATAGGTGATAATAACATACATATAGATAATATGATACATTTATGCCAGTAAATGTTGTACTGTAATTATTACACAGCATGCGGACAGTAGGCCAGTCAATCCGCACTTTATCCATCCATGAGCAGCCTAGCAGGGATGGGTAGTTGCCCCGAACAACATATAGGGGCAGCTTTACGCATTGTCCATTTAGCTCCACCTTAATATTGACCAGGCCCTTGACAGCCACTGTCTCCTCTGTGTAGGTCTTCAGCACCACAATTGTTGGATTGGTAAGTGGTGTAAGTGTTCTTTGTACACTGTCTCTGAAACTAGCNAGTTAAGATTTTGTGATACCTCAACCAAATAACCTCTCCCTGTCATGATTTTATCTAAGGATCGGCCCCACATGCAGTGAAACCAAACAGAGAGACACAGATGAAAAGTTCAACAGGTTTTATTGAAGAGGTTAAGCTCGGTGCAGAGTCTCTCGGTACTCTGCTCAGCCGGAACTGGAAGGCGAGGGGAAGACAGACTGTTAGTTCAGGCTCAGTGGGAAATTTGATTCGTTGATCTTGAAGGAGAGGTTCTGTTTGTTGACTCACGTTTCCAGAGAAGTGAAGGATCCTTGACTCCAATCTGTGTGTTGGTTTTCCAGAGTATGTCTGATTCGGTGGAGGGCGGAACAGGGTTTACCCAGAACTTGGACGGTGTAGATGGACGGAGACACTGATTGCCACTCAGATTTCCTACTGTACTTGAACGGGTCGTGGTGAAGATGATTCCCTTGCTCAGAGAGTAATTTCAGCGTCCTCAAATGAGACTGGATCCAAACCTCCTGTTTGAATCCCTTGCTCAGTTTAAGACTCAGTTGATCCCTCCTGGGAGAGGAGGTCCGAAAAGGTCGAGTTTGCAGGATGACTTCCTGCCGAGAGGCAAAAACAAAAACAAAGTTAAATCTCAGGGAGACAAGAACTCAGTCTTACTTAATGAAAATTCAGCTTGGCTAGAGTACCAAAAACTGGCAAACACTCTGGCGTAGAGGTAGTGGCTAACAGCAGCTTAAGAACACTCCGATAATAAGGTAACCGTCAGCAGGTGTGTGAGGAGGCGGACCGGAACCAGGCACCTCCTGGTGGTGGAAGGGAGAACAACACAAAAGACAAACACACAGACTGGAGTCCTGACATTCCCACATTGTTAAGTGTTAATTTACAGCTGTTATGAAGAACTGAAGCCTTCTGATTGCTAAATTACCCTCTTGTTATACCTTAGTTTATTGTTTTGTTTTTTAACAACAAAGGGTTATTACTCATCTAAAATCCTATTGGTCTCTGTATGGTTTTGCTGCAGAACAAGATTCTATATATCTGTGTTTGATTTTCATCCAGTGACTGT